CTTAATTCTAATAGAATATTAAATAAACTCTAATTAATCCTCAATAATGTTAAATAAGCTTTAATCAAATTCAAAAGAAACCTTAAAAAAATTACAAAAGAAACAATAAGAAATCATAACAAAGTTGAAAAAAATCCATAATAAATCTTAAAAGAATCTTTACGAAGCTTTAAAAATATTAGAATAATCAAAAATATATCTTAAATAAATTTCAACGAAGTTCTAATTTAATCCTAGTTAAAATCCTAATAGACTTCAATCAAACCATAGACAAATCCTAAAGTCTAAATCAAATCCTAAATCAAGCTCTAGATAAATCTCAAATCCTAAATCAAATCGTAAATATAACTTTAGATAAATCCTAAATCCTAAACCAAACCATAAATCCTACTCTATACAAACTCTAAATTCTAAACCAAATCCTAAATCAAATCCTAAATTCTAAATCAAATTCTAAATCAAATCTTGAATTAAATCCTATACAAATCCTAAATCCTAAATCAAACCTTAGATCAAATCTTAAATTTTAAATCAAATCCTAAACCAAATCTTAATTCTACTTAATCTAATTGTAGCATAGTTTAGAACCTCAATATCTATCAATTAAACAGTTGATCTTTCTTAAAAATTTACACACCTTTCAACAACAAAGTTGGCAACAAGCATACAAATTTTGAAGATAATTCTACTTACCAAATAGAAAAAAAGTCCTAAATCTGCTCAAGTGTTGGCCTTCCTACTCCAATGTGAATGTTGAACTTCCAATGCTAATATCTTCTTATCAAACTATTTAATTGTTCTCAAATTTTACATGTGTGTAAAAAATCAAGTCTATTATCTTTAATTAAAAATTTTACTTCAATCCAACTAGTAGATTGTTGAAGATCTTAAAACCCTAAGTGCCTCTTAAAGTCTAATTATCGAGACTTCAATCTACTTAAAATTTAATAGTCTACAATTCAATCATTCAATCAAGCTCAAACTTACAAAACTTCAAACAATTATTTTTATGAGACATCAAAATTTGAACTATAGATCTACTACCAAACTCGCCAAATTCTCCAAAATGGAATACTTTTTTTTTTATATATATAAATTTAAGAGTTATTCAAAACAACTATGAGTTTGCAAAGCTCTTGCAAAGTCATTACATACTTAATTCCTTCACAATCAATGTCCAAAGAAATCCTATCAAGTCTACTTCCAAATCCCACTCTTTAATCTACAAAAGAACCCCTAAATTGTTGTCTATGTCCAATTTTGTGCCTCAAGGTCTGATTTCGACCCAGGTTGATAATTGGTCCTTTGTAGATATTAAATTTTGTTCTTTTGAAATAATTTTTATTTAAATCAACTCCTAATTTCTTTCTATATATATATTCATATTCTTTATTTTTTTAATCTATCTTATTTTATCTTATTTATAGCCTTACAAAGTAAATAGAAGCCTACTTTGTTAAAAGATAGCATTTAAACCTTTAGTTCTACTTTCCTTTGGACTATTTTTTATTTTCTAAGATAATTTGCTATAATATTTGAAGTAAAATCTTCTATAATATAATAGATTCTTTATTCCTTTCATTTATTAGTCATGTTACATCATGACATTGCCATCAATTCTAAATAATCATAAATATACCTTCTATTCCAAACTTTCACTTCAAGTTCACCACTTATGTCATATTACGTATTGTCTTGTTTGAAAATGCACTAGACATGTGGCTGGAGAAGGTAGGATTGTGTTTTACAAGTATTCAAAAATCTTAATAAGTTTCACTCTTATAAGAAGAATGTAATTTGAATTTTAATTTCAAAGTCCTTAAATCTAATATATATAGTGTTCAAAAACACTCTTTTCAGTAATCTCAACCATACATAAATTTCAATTGCGTAGATACTTTCATAATTAGGTAATTTTGAATTTTTATTGCAAAACTTAATCCTAATCAACAAGCTTTAGTAAGATGTAGCTCCTAATTTAATCGTCTACTTAGAGGAAAATTTTTCACACAAATGCCACTAAAAATCTTTTATGTGCTCAAGAAGAATTCACTCCAATCCAACTTACAAATCACAAAAAAATGCCTAAAATCCACATTGATATTACTTGGCAGCCAACTTGAAAGTTGATATAAATGTTCAAGCAATGATTTCTCCTTCTCTAAGTGTTAATTTCAATTCAAAATTGGTGTATAGCTTGAACTTCAAGCTCTTTAATATCATGCCAAATTTTATCTTGATCCAATTAATAGATCTTTGGACATCATAGAAACTCTATCAAACTCTAAATTGCCAACTTTCGATACCTTCTTGTACCAAAATCTAGATATCTCTTAATTACACATTTATATTTTTAAAAAAAATTACACGTATTTAGTACATCTAATTAACCAAGCACTACCAGATTTTGAATTATAGATGTGAAACCAATTTCACAAACTAATCAAAAGTGTTAGTTCTAATTGTATTGATTAAATTCCAAATTATCAATATAAACCTTAATTTTGAATAATAACTACCAAATCCAAACAAATCCTACAAAAACAAGTCTTATGTCATTAGAACAAGCTCTAAGCTAGCTTTCAAATCCTAATCTCCAATCTTTGAATAAAACCCTATTTTGTCCTAAGATGTCGTTTTAGTGGCTAGAGGTCTGATTTTGACCTTGTTTTACAAATGGTCGATCCTCAAATATTAATTTAACCTATCTTAGGGATTTTTTAGGCCAACCCTATCTTCAACTTAATCTTAGTATCAACTATGTTAATTATTTACCTCTTTTAACTTAATTTTACTAATTTATGGTCTTTTCAAGGCAATAAAAGAGTCTCTATAGCCTAGAAGATAAAATTACTAACCAACCTTTAACCTATCAACTATTAAGATAAGAAAATAAATTAAGAAGCTTTTATAAAAGCCATGTTTAAATATCTTGAATTATAGTGATGCATGAAATTTACACTCTAAGAATGTTGACAAATTCGTGAAGATCTGTAATAGTTGCAAATCTATTCTCACTTCCACCAAAAGTAGCATCTATGATTTTTACCTCTATTTCAAACTACTTAATAGATCTACAAGTCAAATTAGATGAAGGTAATCTGTAACTTTTAATATTGAAAGAAAATTTCTACAAAGAGAGGTAATTTGATTTTTTTAAGGAAAAAAATGATGTTAGAAAATAAAAAATGATTTATTTAAAAGTGGATAATCTGCAACCTTCAAAATACAACAATAAAAGTGGAATAATCTACTCAATTCTAAATTAAGATAAGAATAATAAATTAGCACTCTTGTTAAACTATCAAGGAGATGAATCTCAAAGAATTAAAATATCAATATATTCTCAAGTCACTTGAAAAGCCTATAAAATCACTCAAAGATGATATAGTATTAAATTAGAATGGCTATTTGCAAAGATAAGAAGACTAAAAAGTCTTGAAATAAGACTAAAGACTAAAAAAGGGTTGATAAGAATAAAAAAGGCTTCACTCTTATCTCCATATATACTCTTAACTAAGAACTATGTAGTAATATCCTACAGGACCTCCAAAATTTGTTTACTTTGCAAAGCATGTATCTTAACTTATAAGGTAAGTTTTTTATATGTGTGCCACATAGTTACCTTGTTTTGCAAGCTATCAAGACGTGGTTAACTTGTTGAATAAGTTTCTAACCTATTAATCAACTACAAATACATGTAAAGTCAAAGGAGCATTTAAAAAGCTTTTAAGAAGCTTATCTGAAAAATATTATGAAATAAATCTATTTTTACTTACTTTTATTTAATCATATAGGTATATATTAGAATAAAAATGTATGTCTATGATATCAACTCAACCTCTGCAAAAACAATTACTAAGCTTTTGCTACTCTTTGTGTTTCATAAGCATATGGAGCGACCTAGATCAACTATGTTCAATGACCAAATCAAGGGCAAGGACGATGCATGGTGTGTAGGAAGGTGATGGAATAGAATAAGGCAAAGGGCAAGGATTAGGGGGAGAGGAGGTGTGAAGAAAATGGTAGAGGAGACAATGTGGAAGGATTGGCAATGGAGAAGGTATCACAATGCATGCAAAAGCTAAGAATGTTGGAACGAACATTGAGTTATGGTGTTGAAGTGAGGAAAGTAAGACGAATATTATTGTTCAAATTTTTCTTTAGCAATGTTGGATAGCAATTTCTCATTGAAGATCTTGCCAGAATACTGGATCATAGCAGGAAGATGAGGGATTAAAAACATAGATAGAGGCTGGGAACATAGGAATGAGGAGAATAGGAACAAGGGTGCAATGATTCTTCATCCAAAGTGGATTGATTTAGTAAAAATTTGGACTGCTTTAACATTTCCGTATATATATGTATATATATATATATGCGTGCACATATATGCCCTTGGTTTTACTGAAATAATTTATATTAAAATTTGAATTTTTTTCTATGCATTTTAAAGAACAAAAAAATTCTACAATCATCCTAAACACACATAGAATATACCCTACAGATGAACATATTTTAGGTTAATAATACGTCAATACCAGCTGTATCATGAGGAACGAATCATTCTCTCGTTCCGATTTTCGCAGTTGAAAACCCTGATCACCTTTTCCACCCGCCATACGAAGCTTATCAGTATTTTCAAAACCCGCCTCGGGGGTCGCGGCCACGGAATCCACGATGGTGGGAAGCACACGGATAAGGGGGAGACAGACTCGTATTTTTAGCGCGTGCTGACGAGGCAGACAGGCTGGCATCTCGCATATTCCTCGAAGGTTGACCCCCAGATCTTTGGAGGGGGTCGGGGCACTGGGTCCGGGGGGGGGGGGGGCAGGATGGGACGGGTTGGGGACGGGCCGTACGTGGGCTTATCCCCACGGCATCCAATGCTTTGCACCTTCTCCAAGGCATCGTGGTACCACAGCACCATTGCACTGTTTCGGAGAGAAGACAGCAAGTGTGCTGGAGTTGTTCCATTCTACTATTTCAATCTTTTCTTCCTCCCCTCATGCTCCTTTTAATTTCCATAACAACGAAGGAGAAAAATCCTCAAAAGTGCGTCGTGAGTTTCTGAGACTATCTTGCGTCACGTTGGCATTGTTCAGCAACTCACACAAATTGTCAGAAAAAAGCGTGGAATTGCTTTGAAAGAGGAGGAGGGTTGATTATTTTTCTCTCGCGCAAGTTTGATGCCTAAGCCACCTGTGTGAACACGTCAACATATTCAGAAACCGCAGATGGATTTGGCAAATGACAAACGGCTTGACTGAATCAATAAAGGGGAAAACTCGGTCGCACAAAATTCAGCCTGCGGTAGGCTCCTTCTCTTGGTCGGCAGTAACCTGGAAGCTTGACCCTGACCACCTAGAATTTTCCTCTGTTTTCTCACTGTGAACGCAGGGATTTCGCGAAAAAGAGGAAAGAGATAATAAACCGGGCGCAACATCCAAGACGGGGGAGGAGTAGGGGGATCGAAAGAGGGCACTCGGTACCCATCGACTCCGTGACTGTGTCTTGTCGGATCCGTCATGACATGCAAACTTAGCCTCGTTCATCTAGACAAACTCCTCCATTTGTCGGTTCTCTCTGGTTTTTCATCCTCAGATGATGTCGGCAACGGCGCAATCATTCTACGCGTTGAGGAGAAGTGATGAACCGATTCGTGGATGGGAGGGGATCTCGGACTAGAGTTGTGTGAGTAAGGTTGTCTGTAGAAGGACCCAGAGAAGCCGCGGTGATTTTTGTCTTGTGGGTGTCATGCAGTTTCGTTGCACATGCTCCTTTTCGCCGTGTAGTATGCAAAGTGGGAATTGAGTAGTGGTGATCATGTTCTTTGAGGTTGAGGGTTTTGTTGAAGGTAATGGAGGAAGAGGAGGAGACTCTAGTAGACATTTCGATTGCACAATTGTTATCAAAATTGATGTTCCCCGCAGGAATACTCGGAAGCCACAGGTAAATTGCCGTTTCTGCTCGGCGGTTGACGGCTGCCATTTTGAGGTGTTAGCTTTGACCTGTTCCCCCGGATTCTGTGTCAGTTTTCTGCTGGTGTAACTAATCAGTCGTGCATTGCTGCGTGTGCTAAGGCCGGCATCTTGGGGTTCCTTTGTCCCGGTCGCGCGTCTTTAGGAAGCGCTGTAGAACTTTAGGTAGCTTCCGCGTGATTTTTTAAATGCTGCTTTTAGGGTGAAGTCTCGTACCCTGGCGAGCTGCAAGGATATCGGGAGATTCGAGTCAAGCAACCTGAGGGTTTTCGAAGGGTTGGTTTTTGAGGTTGTTCACGCCAAATTGAATTGGTTGTGTTTGGAGGATGAGGTTGACGTTCAACTGATTATGACGGATCAGACCACGTGGTAGTGTTCAGGGTGGGTTGGGGTTCTTGTGAGATCGTGAGACTCGGGCTTTGAAATCGAGCACAAGCTGCTCGCAATTCTTGACCCATTTTTTTTTAATCCAAACAGCAAGTCAAGTCACGCGTTCTTATCACAGGCCAATGGGTTCATGGTGGGCAATAAAGTTTTAGAAATGAAGTGGTGGAGGCGGAACAAACATTAGGTTGCACATCTAAAGGGAGGATATCAATGTACTTTTGGATGCTTATTGTCTAGTTTCTTGTGGAAACCTTTCCGCGAGGTAGAAGGCGGTAACTCTTGCACTTGGAATTAAACCACGGGAAATTTAGGGAGAGGGCTGGAGTATGGGGAGATCAGATTGCGGTGCCGGAAGTAGGCTGCCGCCTTTGGAAGGGATGGTGGCGGGGTTATCACCGGTGACGAAGTTGATGGCCGTGTCGAAGTGGGTGAGATGGAGATGGTTGGGACTGAACGCGTGCATGTTTGGCAGCGCCATGGCAATGTCGCGCGTGAGTGGAGAGTTCCAAATTTTTGATCCTATGGGGGTGATCGCTCAGGTTAGCAATCCGGTTTATACAGGAGGCTTGGAGCTTGTCTTGGCGAATGGCGTGTTTGACCAGTACAGTTGCATGGGTGTCGACACCTTGGGTACTATTTTCTCTTTATGCGTGATGTTCATCTTCGGTGTAGGCACTGGGTTGTGGTGGAAAGATGCGCAGAAAAGTTTAATGGAGCCATCTTTTTCACCATCCGTGTCTGGTCCGCGGGTCAAGAAGAATTTCAGGATTAATTCAACCGTGGGCTCCTTGAGTCAATACAGACTGAAGGAGATTACCACCATGACGAACTGCTTTGGGTTGGAGATCGGAAGAGGTGGCCAGGGGATCGTGTACCTTGCCACCCTACCAGAGGGACGCGGCAAAGCGGCAGTGAAGAGGCTTCAGAAGAAAACTGGGAACATTCCGGTTAACGGCAAGCTAGTGAACAATTCCAACAAGGAGGTTATTGAGAGGGAGTTTTGGGCGGAGCTTAAAACAATCTCTCGGCTTCACCATCGCAACCTTGTGGCGCTTCTGGGGTTTTGTGTTGAGGAGGACGACCTGTTTCTTGTGTACGAGTTCATGGGCAAAGGCTCCCTTAGCCAGCACCTCCATCCCAGAAACCAGGAGGATGCCGATGAAACCACGCTAGATTGGAAGGCACGAATGCGTTGTGCAGTTGAAGTGGCGCAAGGTTTGGAGTATCTTCACAGCCATGCAAATCCTTCTCTGGTTCACCGAGACATCAAATCGGGTAACATTCTTTTCGACGACGACATGAATGCGAAGATTGCAGACTTCGGACTGAGCAAACCTGTTATATCAGGAGTGGATCCCACGGTGTCGATGCGTGTGCGAGGCACTCATGGATATGTGTAAGTACACCAAGTCAATCACATTTGAAAGAATATTTTACATTTGTCAGCGTTGATATTCTTGGTTGACGGTAGATTGCGTGAATGAACAAGGAGCTGTTTCCGTTGCATGTTTCAGGTTAATGATAGAGAGATGTTTTCATGTGCCTCCTCATGCAGAGATCCTGTGTATCTTCGCGATGGTCACCCATGTGACAAGAACGATGTCTACAGCTATGGCGTGGTGCTGCTGGAGCTCATTACCGGTCGTCGTGCTATACAGCAGAAAATCACATTGGTACAATGGTGCAGTGACTTTCTAGGTACAGGTGAGCATGTGATGCGGCATCTTCTCCCTCGAATGGTCGACAAGCGAATGAGAAACTTAGACATTTCCTACGATCAGCTCTTTGAAGTTGTCAAGATTGCCCGACATTGCATTCAGGAGAGACAGCAGGATAGGCCGACCATGAAGGATGTGGTTGCTGCATTGTACAATGCCAAATGCAAGGACTCTAGTCCGACTCATTGTGCCGAGTTGCCATCCTTGTATGTACCGCAGCAGATGCCTGTAAATTGTCACGGCAGAAATGGTGTCTCCAGCTTCGATGGCAGCTCGTTGGACAATCTTCAAACTTCCAACTCGCACCACTTTTGGTACACTTTCTTCCTTACTTAAGTCTAGAATTCACACATCAGCACTTGTTCGCGTTTGTATTCACCTTAATTTTTACAAGCATATTGTGTCATGGACATGTGCGAGCCGTCATGCATGGTTTTCCGCAATCTGCAAAATAGTAACAGCTTTACATGTAATTGTTTATAACCTAAAACTAGAACTGAATCTAAAAATTGTGCAGTTCACCTTCTTACGACATCAAGGAGAACAGTATCCGCGTCAAATGCACTATTGCAAAAATTGATATTATACTGAGGTGCAAGATATGGCCAACATCGAAGAACTTTGGAATGAACAAAGTGGAAGCTTCAATGAATGGCGCAGTTCTCTGGAAGAAAGGCCTCTGGTTTTATAACGCAAAAAGCCATCGTGAATTTCAATGTGGTGATAATATTAAAGTGATCGCCGAATGGCATGTCACACTTCGAACAAATTATGAAGGTTTGCCTGGTGATGATCCCCGAAGAAGTCAAGGTCCTTTCTGCGTCGAATATCTAGCACTAAAGGATAAGAACGGACAGCCCCTGGTTGAATACCGCGGTGACAAGGATCCACTTCCCCCAGTAAGTTCCTTAACTTTTGCTGATTTTGTACTCGTGGAATACACGTCCGGTTTCTGTCATCTTCACTTCAGGCTTCTCCCAGATTTATCATGAGGATGCGCCCCAGAGTGTCTTAAACTTTCCACGTGTCATTGGGGTTGGTTCTAGTTCCACGGAGCATGTAACAGTGGATTAATCAGTTGCGAGTGTTGGTTTTCCATGTTTGATTGTAACATGTTCGTGAACTGTTGTTTGTGTCAAGCAGCAGATGGACAGAAATCCACGAGGAGAAAGTAGCGGGTCTAGATCCTCATCTGGATCTGGTTCAGAGCGTCGGAGGATCAATCGTCCGCGAATCTCCAGCTGACTTCGCACTGTTTTCTGGATTTACCTTGAATTCAGCCGATTTCCCGAGTCTGTGAAGCCTAGGTTTGCGCGCCTGTGCTTTCGAGAGCAACACCAGCACTTCAGACCTCAAAGTAAGAGTTCATGAATGCTTCTAATTCTGTTTTCACATGCATTGGTTTTTCTTCAAGTGCACCAAAGGAAGGTCCAACATGATGGACCCCTTTCGTACTAAGAAACAGATCACTCGCCTATCTTGCTCAACTTCTCAATACATGAACTGTTTCTGTGTCATCAGGTCAGGGTGTTCCCGTTCTGAAGGGACCAGCGAATCAAGAGGGTACTCTGATGTAAGGACACTGCTGTAGAAGTTGCTTCCGTGGCCTGTTGACTGCAGACCTCGTAGTGCGGTATAGTGCTGATTTTGAAATAGAGTTTGTACGTACATGTTTCGATACACTTTCACGTGTACATTGAGTGGAGATACTAGCCAAGCATCGGGCCTGTCAATAAGCCGGCTGATGATGTGAAGTGTAACGTTGTGGTGGTGAATCACTGCAAAGAAGTGCAGTGACCTTGAAAGCATATGCTAAATGGGTGGAGTGGTTTGTACTGTGCGCTGATGATACCCGACAATTAGTCATCATAATGTTCGTGCTCAAAAAAAGCGACTTATTGCAATAAAAAAAATTAATTACATGTTCTACTAAAAATTATAAGAAATTGACTTAATCTACTCTAGAAAAAAATAAAAATAAACCGATGCCATGTTTAAAAATAAGATACAAAATTTCTAAGGTATTTTGGTAAAATTAGATTATATAAAGTCTTTATATACAAAGCCAGATATTAAACTTTCTAAATCTATTGCCTATCTAAGATGATTTATATAACATCTTTAATATACCTTTCTATACATTAGGATCTATTTTTTTTTTATTCACCTTAGTTTTAAGGGAATGTTAAAGCAACCTATCATTTTATTAAATCAACCCATCCTATCTTAACCATCATTAAAAAAAATCATGGTTTTCAGCTCCTCCTTGTTTCCAACTCTAGCTCCCTTCGTTCCTCATTCCCGAAGTTCTCCGCTCTTGCCATTCCCATCTTCCATCCTAATCTCTCATTTCCACCCAGAGGTTTCACTGTTGTATCGCACAACTAGAGGGTTGATACAAACTTGTATATCTTACAAACTTATATATCTTACCACAAGGAATGATGTCAATTGCATTTAGTTTGAATTGAGTGTTCAAAGCCAAAAATATCTATTTAAATCCAAAATAGTTTTAGAAGCACTTGCATATTGAACATGGTTTCTTACATTTTCTTCTCAATTACAGAAAATTATTGTGTACAAAACCAAATAAGCTTTGTTTTGTGAAGTTGGAGACGCATGTTTATTGGCCACGGAATTCTTATCGAGCAAGGCTGGATCTTTATACTTAAGTTTTGAATTAAGCACATTGCAGACTCATGTCGTGTAGCCTAATGCAGTGGCTTGGCTACAGTCATGGTATTCCAGTATTGAAACAATGGTAGATAAGGAGGTTGCACTACTGCGATTTGTTAGGGGGATGAGTGCACACAGTCACAACATCAAATTGGATTTCTAGTATGGGTTGTTAATGTGCTGCCACGAATAATCGCATGAAATTGTTGGCGTTGATGTGGGATCTTGGCCTTGGCGGGTGTTGAACCGCACCTCATTCATTACAAGATGAGAAGCCTCGAATCTTGCAGTTGCATTGGCAAGCAACTTCATATTTGCAGGTCCTTTAAACGGTGCCACCTCAGATTGTAGCCCACCACTAACCAGTTACTTCATCTACCACCTCACAAGAAGGCATGTTTCACCCTAAAGCAATATTTGAACTTTGGCTCTCCACAACTTGCTAAGTCTCATGGCAGAGATCCTTACACAATTTGAATCAATTGACTTTGATAAGTGGAGTTAGATTACCCAAGTCACCTACACGAGACATACATCTGTAAAAGATGCGGGGGAGCAGCTTCATGTCATGGGCAACGCTACAGCCATTGTAAAGCAATTACTGCTATAGCGCGATATATTTCTAGCAGTTATCTATCAATAAAGTCAAGACTGCTGTCCACCACGCTGCTTGCCTCTATGGGAGGCCGTGAAAAAGTTGGAGCTTCCTGCCAACCATCAGACATTTCCTCCTCTGTTAACATTGGAACTTTTTTTGCAGCTTCAAGGTGTGTGTGTGTCTCTCAAACGTCGAGAATTTGGTACTTGGATTCACAAAAACACTGCAGAAGGTATGACCCACAGGTTACGTTGCTTGCAGCTGGCTTCTTAGAGGGTCTTGTCTCATGCTTAATGCTGCAACGTCCACCCCCTATTGCTGCAGCTTCATTATGTTGGATGCTACTCTCGTCTACATTCATCTCTTCTGTTCATCATGACAGCTCGGAGCAACAACTTGTGAACCTGTTTCTGAGCCCGTACTGTGAGGGTATATAATACCCCTCCCGAATCATCTTTTAATTGAATAGTACGTTCCACATTGTGTCTTATCCTAGCATCCCAAATGGTATCAAAGAGTGGTCCCGAAGTATACAGCTTAGAACATATTAGCTACTAACAATAATTGTGGCCTGTCCTCCTCAGATTTAAAGATTATAAGTAGAGAGACAATAGACCCCACACCAAGGATGATGAGTCATCCAACCACACCTGCTGTGCTAGTTCCCACCGTTTGTAGCGTCTCGGTCAGTCATGCAACTAGTCTGACTTTGATACCAGGAACGTACCACCTTACATGCCTAGAAAACTATGGCATCAGAGGCTTCAAAATGCAAAATGTCTTCGAGAGAGACGGACTCTACCACTTCTGCATCACAGCACCCAACGATCCCATGTCAGAAGAAGAGAAGAGGGGTAGACAGCAGGCTCAATGCACACTTAAAAGTAGTGTAAAGGGTGGTACAACGCTGAAGCTCCTCAGGTGCTACCGAGAACCACACGATTGCTGGACCTCATTAAAATCGAGTTCCTAGTCAGACATTAGCCCCCGGAAAGTGTTCTTGATTGACAGATTCTTTAAACATCAGGAAGACTAACGGCATGGACGAATACCTTACGGACATGAAAGATGCCGTTGACCTCCTCAACAAAGTAGGGATCTTTCTCCTAGAAGAAGTTGTAACTTACTATACACTGAAGAATCTGCCCAGAGAGTTTGACGTCACAAAACACATGATCCTTAATGAAAGGAAACTGTCGTCTTACAAAGAACTGGAAGCAAGACTATTGGACAAAGAAACCTCCAGAAAGATGGACTTACAGCCAGAACAGATCGGCAAGGCGCTTCTTTCCTTCCGAAGTCACACCCGAAGGCCTCACAACAACCGAGGGCCACATTAAGGATATAGAGCACAATATTATCAAAATGGATAGAACAACTTGAAAGCCGACAACAGCAGCCGCGGCAGCTATGGCCATCGACACCCAAGCAACTCACACTTGGGAGGGCAATCCCTCAACAGTGATCGCGGCCAATACTCATAGGACCGTAGAAACCATTACCACCCACGAAGTAGCTATCAACGTTACAACAGCAGCAGTCGAATTGCTCCAAACAAGCCGCTCATTCCAGCCACCGCAAAACACCGAGAAATTTTTAAAGGGGACCTTTGCGACCTTCTTGAACGTATCAAGGATATGGAGTCTCGCCTCCAGACAGAAGAACACCAAAAGAATGGAGAGGCGGCCATATACATAACATCAAAATCAACGAAAATGAAGACGATCAGTTCGAGTACGAGAACGATTCAAAACCCAAAGAGGAAGCATCTCCCGAAGCTTGCCTGCTATAGGTAAATGTTTTAGACACAAACTCTAGACTTTATTACCTAAATTCTGGTGTCTTGCACCACATATCTGGGGACAAAACGTTAGTTTCTTTGATTAAACCATATTAAACCATGCACAGGAACCAGGGTTACCTCCATAAGAGGACAAGGACATATTGTATTTGGTATTGGGAATGTTGCTGATAAGCTTCTCAACACTGAAATACAACAAATTCAACATGTTCTTTACTCACCTAGCTTAAAGAAAAACCTCCTGTGTGTTGGATACCTCACAGACAGAAACTTTTCATTTGTATTTCAAAACCTCTAATGTTTTGAAATACAAATCCTCCAATGCAGCATCAAAGATTCCCAATGGAAAATCATTGCTATGGCAAAACAAGAGAAAAGAAATAGTCAATACTGACTCATTGGAGAAACCATTTCTGGATGCACAAAGTTCTCTCTTGTGAAGTACATACTTGCTCAATTTTGTCATTACCACTAGCCGCTCTCTAACATAATAGGATTAATATTCCAAGAGTAATACAAGCACCTAAAACTCAAGTGCACACAACTTGACCAACAATTCCTATTGTTCAATTTCTAGCATCTACATCAAAGAAAGAAGATATGGGAGTTGAAGAGATTATATGTGGTATGAGGGATCTTTAAATGAAATTAGCAAGACTTGAAGAAAAAACTTCTACAAACAATTTGAAGGCTATTTCTAAACAAAAATATGTACAAAGATGTATTTGGTGTGATGATGTTTTTCATACTAGGAAGGATTGCAATGAATTTAATGATATGGTTCAACAATGAGTTATTTTTTGGAAAGATGGAAATATGGCATTAAAAGATACAAGGAAACTTTTTTAAACCAATTTTGGCAAGAGAGATATGAAAGCATTGATTGAAGACTATTTAGTAGTACATAAAGTAGCAACATAAGAAAGTACAAGTTATGGTGCTAAGATAGATGATGACTTTGATGGAAGCATAGAAACAAGTGGATTTTAGACTTTTGCCATTTTCACAATTCAAAAAGGAAAAATACCTTAAAAAGTATTATTGAAAATTGCAACTATAATATGTAATAGAACAAGTTAGAAAGATCCTATAGAGATTCTTTTAATTCATATATATTGCTAAGAGCTAATATAAAGCCTTTATGGAAGTAAAGAGATGAATTTTTTTTGATGATACAATAAAAGGAAATTCTTGTAACAAACAAATTTTAAGAGATAAGGCTCATAAGGCGGCATCACAAGAATTGTCTACAAAAGATGTTTCAATAACATTAGAAGAAAAAATAAAGGAAACAAAAGATAAAAGTAAATCAATAGCGTATAAACTACTCTCTTATATTAAAGTGGCAATAGATTTTAAAGGGGTGTTGGAAGAACGTGTACTAAATGTTAAGGTAGAATTTATATTAAAAGAAATTTTAGGAATTGTAAAAAAGGGATTGCATGATGTTATTATTGACAATATTAAAAAGAAGAAACAATTAATGGATGAAGGTAGAATAAGTCAGGCTATTGATACAAAGATATACAAGGATGAAGAAGAGGTTGATAATTATTATAAGAAATCAATAAGTGAAAAGAATGGTTATAATAAACAAGTATATTTTGAAGATTATATTAACAAGAAAATAGAAGCTTCAAGCCATTATACTCAATAGCATTAAGCAAGGGCAACTATAAAAATATTAGTAAAGGTGGAAGATATATATAAGAATAAGTTGTTATTTTAATTGACCATGGTTTTGAAATAATTCTTATATCTAAGGATCTTTATAAAAAGCAAAGGTGGCCAATTGGTATAAAACATGGATGGATAATACGAGCAACTAATAACATATGAGGTAAATTATATGGAACTTGCCTAGATATTAAAACTTAGATTAGAGATGTTGCAATAGAACAACATTTCTTTGTTCAAGATACAATATCTTATCTAATGATTTTAAAATAATCATATATTACGACAATATAGATAGAAACAAAAGGTCTTAATAATAATTCAGCCTATGCACAGATTCATAGTGAAGATAAAAGAAAAGTGGTAAAATTTTTAACTATGCTTCGTCATCACAAACTAAATTGAGATATATTGCAGAAGAAATTGTTGCCAAGAGTTGTTGAAGAATTTAAAGATTTTGTAGAAGTACCATTATAAAGCAAGTTTATAGACATACAAAAAGAGAGGTATTCTTATAAGATATAGATACCTTTGATAGAAGTATTATTGATATTTTTTAAAATCAAAATATTATATATAAAAAAATAGAAGATTTAAAAAGAAAAGAAAAGAAAAAAAGAATATACGATATTGATAAAGAATTATATAATTTAAGAATATTAGAAGTTGATGAGAGGATTTTTGGTGTTTATGAAGAAAATGAATTATAAGATTCTTTGAGGGTAATTGCATCTATTGAATTAAATGATGATGAAAAGATTATGAAAACTTATTCAAAAGAAGTTTATTTTATACTTGAATTCTATAAAATGAATAGAAGAGACATCAAAAGAAGAAAGTTTAAAAGATCTAAAGATTATTAGACATCAATGTACAAAAGAGACTTTTGAAGAATTGAAGATTGGATGCAATAATTCTTTATTATCAGAAAAAATTGAATATTTTAAAGTAATGCTTACAAAATAAGATAAATTATTTGCCTTTGAACTTTATAAAATAGGATGTGTAGATCTTAGTATTATTGTTCCTATGGTTATTTTTATAGTACCACATGTGTCTTGGAACTTAAAGCCAATTCTTACGTTAAATGCACACTTGCTTAAATTGTTGGAATTATTGAAAGAAAAGATACAAATAAAGATTTTGGAGCCTTTTTTTGCTCCATATTCTAGTAGTTGATTTATAACATCTAAAAAAAATAAATTATTATATTTTATTTAAGATATGCAGCTAGTGAATACATTAATTATTAAAATTATAAGTTTTATATCTTTAATTTATGAATTTGTTGAAGCTTCTGTAAAAAAGGTGTTAGTCATCAGATTGACTCACTAGTTGTTTTAGGACAAAAGAATGCATGTAGAGTGCCAAAATTACAATTACTAGGTAAAGATGTACTTAGAAGATGTTAAAGAAAGAAGAATAGTATTAGTGGAGAAGAAATGGAGTCTTAGTAAGTCTTGGAGGCAATTATTTTAGTTGATTTAGTATTTTTACTTATTATTAAGGAATAGGATTAGTTACTAAAATCAATATTTATATTGATCTTATATCCATATGTATTACTTATACAAAAACTATAAATGTTAGTTAGTAGTTAAAAGAAGTATGAGAAAGAATCTCATGTTTTTTTAATTATTTATATAGAAAGTAGAATTTATAGTAGATTTAAATTGATTCCATTACTATAAAAAATCAATAATATAAGAAATTATATCCTTAAATTGCTATTAGCATTATAGAAACATTATGGAAATTTTTAGAATTTATTTAGAAATTATTTAGAATTTTTAGTAGATTCAAATTGATTTTTATTACTATAAAAGATCATAAATATAGGAAATTATATCTTTAAATGGATATTAGAATTATAAAAATATTATAGGAATTTTTAGAATTTATTTAGAATTTTCTATGAATTTTTAGGGTTATTTTCAAGACCTTGGTAAAATTGAGTTTTACCACTTGGAGAGCCATTATGAAGAAATGGAGCAAGGTTTGAAGGCCACGCAATGTTTCTAGGCTAATTGGGTGTTTCTGAACACTATGGTGAAGTCAAAAATGAAAAAATATTAATTCTACTAGTAGAAAATAGGAGGACTACCAGCTAGTATAGTCCTTGTAAGAAGGGAGGTGCACAAGTCCCATATGGGTTGTAGCACCTTGGATATAGATAGGAAGATAAGACTAAGGCCTCAAGGCCTCTTTAGGCAACTGATATACACTACATGTGAGCCTTGGTGAGGCTCGAACCCTTGATCTATAAGCAAGTTACCCTTGAGGTAGAATATTTTCACTTCATTTTTTAATTATTTACTTCCTATTTTTTAAAAATTCATAATTTACTCATAGTAATTCGGATTTATATGTTTCTTACGTCATTGGAAAGACAATAAAATTACCTGTCTCAAAATTTACTTTTTATTGGATGAAAATATAGTGAACAAACTGTGACTTAATTTTTGATTGTGTACTTACTTCATAACATTCATTTCAATTGTTTTGTGGTTGTTCATCTTTTGTTCTTGTTAATTGCTTACTTCCCTTCATACCACCAATTAAAAGAAAATCTTAATTGAGGCCATCTTATAATTGGGATTGAGGAGTGAAATTTACACTTACATTTTGGTGCGTTTGCGAGGAGATGGTCCTTCTAATGGTGTGTGTGAATGTGAAGTTTGCTTGTTGTGATTGATCTTGCTTGATTTTGTTGAGGGAGGAATTCAAGTAGCTTATTATTGGTGGTAAATGTTCTTGATCTCTTCTTTATTGGTATAAGCAAAGCATTTCTAATTCTCAATTTATATGATAGTTAAAAATTTCATTGTTAAGTTGGATGTTGATTTGCTCTCGGGTTTTCATCAATCAGTTTTTATGTGTTGCAATTTTTGAGTCAAAAATTCTTAAGGTTTTGTGTCTAGATGTAAGCTTTTCAAAAAGCTATCACATGTTCAAATTGAAGTTGATTTGAATTTGTAGTGAGTTTTAGAGTAGAAAGAGGTTCACTGCCTTGGCAGTTTCATGTATCTCATGTTTGGAAAGGCATTTCTTAGTACTTAGTGATTCTTTTATACCGGAAAATTTTGTGTAGAAGCAAATTAAAGTTGAGGTCGTAGTGGTGCAAAATTCACTGCAATTGAATCAAAACTGAAATTTTGGCGATTTTTGGAGTGGAGAGAGGTTGCTACCTTAAGCGGAATACAATTGAGATTGTCATTTGAGGAGAAGGAACATAAGAAAGAAAGAGGAAAGCATTAATATCTTGCAAACAAGTAAGTCCTTGATCCTTATCAATTATTCTTTTTTTAAAATTTTAGAAAATTGCTTGAATACAAGGAGTTGGAGCTAGGAATTGGAGGGTAGAATCTAGGAGGAAGACGTGAGAGAGGTAAGTCTCCAATCTCTCTTGTAGTTGTGGATGGGAGAAGGTAGATAGAACCTTTAATCCATTATCCTTAAACCTTAAACCCTTACCTAGAATGTTTAGTTTGAGATCGGCTTGGAAAGAAGTCACGTATTTTGGAATTTCGTTAACAAGTAACAAGTTGGCTAGAGATGCAATTAGGTGAGTTCT